GTAAATATTGAATGATAATATTTTATAATCTAATATTTTGATTAGAAAATATTGAACGATAATATTTTATAATCTAATATTTTAATTAGTGAATATCGAGCAATAATAATAAATTGATGGAACAAGTACTTTTGATAATATCAATATACTTAATGATATTAAATATTTTATAATCTAATATTTTAATTAGTGAATATTGAACGATAACAATATTTTATAATCTAATATTTTAATTAGTGAATATCGAGCAATAATAATAAATTGATGGAACAAATACTTTTGATAATATCAATATACTTAATGATATTAAATATTTAATAAAGTTCTAACATTTAATTTCAAAACAAATTTAACATTTAATTTAATTTTCATTCGATATTCGATAGAACAAATACTTTTGGTAACATTAACAAATTAAACGATTAAATTACCTCGTGATAATATATTTAATGATAAAGTTAAATTTAATAGGATTTCATGCGGAGAGGTTTCGTTGTTCAATTCCTTTTTTTTTCCATGGAACTTTGTTTCACTTACTTATTCATGCGGAAAGTTCAACAACTCAAAACTTGAAAATATTGCAACTTACACGTTACGATATGTTCAACATATTTTTGACCAGCCGCGAATCGACGCGTTTCCACGAATATTCAAGAATTGTCGATCATTAACAACACGTTAACAAGTAAAACTGCTTAGGCACTCACTTTTTTTTTTTTTTTTCTTTTGAAGTTATTTACGCGAAAACATCCGTGTGCAGTCTATTAATAATCGCTAATAATATCTTCAAATAATACACGATTTAGTATATCATTCTTCACAGTCTAATCGTCGTTTCGTGATAATTTCCAATCTCGTGTCAATTCGATTGATCAACGAGATAACGTTTTCTAGAGACGTTTTTTTAAATAAACTGCAGATTAATCCCTCATTGAGGCGGTTTTTCATGCTTTCTTACATTTCTAGAACTCGTGTTTATAGCAGTTGGCAATTACTCCGTCGAGGAATTCCTTATATTACAAGACTTGGCCAAGATACTTAACAGTGCCATATTTATCTTGAGCCGTGTACACAAGGTGAAGGATTTATTCGTTGAACATGGTTCTCGTTTTTAATTATTAAGTACGAGAACGAGAGCGTTTAATCGGGATGATAACGAAATTGCTTACGATCTTTTTTTTTTTTTCTTTTCCTAAACAGAGATTAATAGTATTAACAACGATACAGAATGAAATTTCACGGTGAGATGATAAGCTGGTCGTTGTTGTTTCTTTTCATCTTGAATTTCAAAGTTGGACTCTGAATTTTATTTATATTCAATGCACGTAACACGCACAGTGAACGTGTGTTAACTATACACGTGTTATATAATGAAGTATTTTATAGTTACGTAATAAAAAGGAAAAAAATCACTTCGATCGCTTCACTGGTAAGGAATTACTCGAAGAAATAAATCTATTCGTTTAGTTATGATTTCTCGCTTATGTAACAATCTGTCGGTAAAGTGTAACGAAATTACAATAAATATTACATTTCTTTGATTGCAGTCATTATAAAATATTATAACAATTGATATAATACAAGTCGTATTGATGTTATATTTGAATTTCCAATTTAATTTTAATTTTCATGTTTTCGAATTTCTTCATTTACCTGTGAATATTGTTGATCTCTAGAGAGTCAAACAAATCAAATCAATCCAACACAAATTGCTATAATCATCCGTGACACAATCAAATTTGAGTTTCAATTTCGATTCTTAATATTTTGAACGCTCGTCTTTCTGAGTAGAGAAGAAGAAGAAATTCACAGTTTCGCGAAGGAAATTAAAAGAAGGGCGAGAGAGATTTTTTTTCACGCTTGTTAAATATGTTATCGCGTTATCTCGTATGCAACAAAGGAACATCTTAATCGCATTCGTCAAGCCATAATTAACCTCCGCGTGTATTCGCGAGGTCACGAAGGCTGCGTGCTGCTCTGCCCGGTCAATTTTTCTATATCGCGATTCTGCGTGATAGCGATGGATCTTTACAAATAATCGCGAGCGAAGAAACGCACGATATGGTGAGAAAGGTCAAGTACAAGTGCGTTACATACATGTGTGTGTCCGTGTATTGCGTTAGGCCGTTTATCGAATTTTCACTCGCGATAAAAATTGACTAGGCTTCGTGACCTCGTGCAAATACACGCGCAGAGGTTAATCAAACTCGAGATACAACTCGAGTACATATCTGGCATAATACGACGGGAAACAAGTCAACTGTGAACCGAATCGCTCTTGCCACCGTCTTTCAATTTGTCTGCCGTTGTTAAATTCATCTTTTCTTCACGGTCGCAATAAAGAGGTGTGTGTTAGAAATTTTTCTGTCATCTCCTCTCTCTTTCTCTCTCGAAAGGACGATTTACTATACGCGACGAGTGTAGTAGTTTAATTAGAGCGACACACACAATGTTGCCTCGCAGTATACGCGCGCCTGTATGTGCATAGAAGTTAAATTTCCCGATTCAGACACAATCTAGACACAATCCAGACGTGACTAGTCGACACGTTCTCGTTCCAGAATATTAAAGTCTACCTCGAGTATGTTGCGAGGCCAATCACGAAAATTACGTGCGTCTGCCAAGTTTGAAACGTTCGAAAGAGGATTATTTCGAACGATTTTGTGGTATTGAAAAAGCTACGTTTCTTACCATATTTTTATCGTTATATATATATTTTATTGTTTTATATTATGATTTATAATTTATTAATTTTATATTATTTTTATTATTTATTTATATTCTATTTTATACACGTATTATTTATTGTACAATTATATCATCGTTATATTTTCAATACATTTGTTTACTGAAAATCGAAACAAAAAGTCTGATGACGTGTAAGTATCTCGGAATGATTCAATCGAAATGAATCTCACCGACGAAAAGAATTTTGAACAACACGAGAAGAAACGGACGATATACGCCTTTGTCGCATTATTTCATAAAAAATTGACGAAACGCGATTCAGCCTCGCATCCGCAGTCAATCGTATCTCAGAATACGAACTCACGTTTATTGTCGGGTGACGTGCATATTCCATTTAACATAAAAAAACAAAAAAAAAAAAAAAAAA